CATCATCATCACCATCATCATCACCATCATCATCACCATCATCATCATCATCATCATCATCATCATCATCGTTAACATTTGTGTAGTATTTTATTGTTTGCAAAGCCTTTTAAAAATATCTTATTTCTCATTTAGCTACAGATTATTTCATAAAGATAAATAAGGTGGAAAGGAAGAAGGGGTAATCATTGCCACATGGCATTTCCTTGAAAGTTTAATGTTTACAAAGTAAGTAACAGTCTTGTGAGATAGGTAATTCTTTTATTATTATACCCATTTTACAGATGAGGACCTTACAGCTCAAAAGAAATCAAGCATTTTGCCCAAGTTCAAGCAAGTACTGAGTGTCAGCGCCAGTATTCAAACCCAGTGCTGTCCTGCTTTAAGTCCAACACTGCCTCCACCTTAGAAGCGAGAAAATGAAAAGGATTGGAGATATTTTCTTCTGCTTGACTTTGTAAACTGCTTTGGGAGAGATGACTTGGACTGACAGAGTTTGTTGGCTCAGGGCTAGAAGTGACTGGCAAAGGTGACTCGGCCTTTAGTGGTGCTTTTGCTTAGAGATCTGAAGATTCAAACATTATGAAACCCAAGTCTTTTAAAAATACGTTAATTCTTACATTCACCCAGGCTGCCGTCTCACCAACACGGCCAGCTTCTCAATGCATTCAGAGACATACCATCCTTAACATTCAGAGCAAATAGACATTTTGCTTATTTTGAAAATATGACATTCCTTTGGTCTTTAATGCTAATGTTAAATGCTACAGTAAATATAACATGTATTAGTTTTTAATGGAAGCTTTAAAAAAAGTTTCAGCTCACCATTCAATGAATTTGTGCAATAACTTCTGGTTCCTTGATTCAGGGCCCCGTTCCCCATCCTCAGCTTTTTGCCTGTGCTTGTCATTGAGCCCACTTGTAGTCTTCCTGCTCTACAGTGAGAGGATGAGGACTAAAGGTCTTTATGTTTCTCACTGCCTGCATTTGTTTGTGAATGTCTATATTCCCATATGTATCTGAACCAATTCTAAGTGCTCTTTTTACAACTTACTCAAGAAGTCTCCCTGATGTTTGGTTTGTGGGCCGTTTGTCCACGAACTCACCACAGTTTTTCCAAGGTCCATGGTTCAGCTATGTGATTGAGGTTGCTGGGGTCCATCCTCCTAATTATGATCTTTTTTTGCCCATAGTTCCCCTTAGTAATGTACAAGTGCCCATTTTGGGTCTGAAAAGGTTAGCTCCCTTGTGGGGATAGTTTTGAGTATCTCAGTGAAGGTCTTAGCTGGAGAGGTGATGCCTCTGAAGGAAGTGATGGTTGTGTATCCAGACCCCCAAATTCCCACCACACATAATGAAGATAGCATCCTGGGAATGGATGTCCCTTGGGTTCAGGAAATCATCCAAGGAGAATGGAAGTCTGACCTTGAGGCTTCTCGACAGCGCTTCAGGTTTTTTCGATACCCAGAAGGGGCTGGGCCCCTTGAGGCCCTGAGCCAACTTCAGGCACTTTGTCTTCAATGGCTGAGGCCAGAAATTCATACAAAGGAGCAAATTCTGGAGCTGCTGGTGCTGGAACAATTCCTGGCTATCCTGCCTGGGGAAATCAGGGCTTGGGTGAAATCACAAAATCCAAAGACAAGCGAGGAGGTGGTGGCCTTGGTAGAAGATATGGCCCAAATACCAGAGGAAGGAGGTGAGAATTATAGCATGATGGACTGAGCACATTACGATGGCCCTTCCGGAGATACCAGTTAGGAGGATGCTGCCCAGTGTGAATGACAATATTTAAGGTGGTTCCTAATATTTAATGAGTAACAATATTTAAGGTTTCATGGTGGTTCCTATAGTAGGAAGTACAGGAGGGTAGATCCCCAGTTATCCCACCCCCATCAAAACATTTGAGAAGCTCCCGCACCAAGGTTTTATGCCTTCCCATGCATAGGTATGATTTGGTCGTTTAAACTGACCTGCAGTTTCATGGATTACCAAATGCTGCATGAATATGTTTATGCTAAATTTAATTTTCTTCCTTCCAAGAACCTTATGGAGTACTACAAATATGGTTATAACCATTTTGCCGCTAGAGAACTGAGGAATAGAGTGTTTGTGGCTGTTGTCCAAGGTCATACAGAGGGATGACAAGCCTGACCTGAAGTCTGTTTCCTGACTCCCATTCTATGTTTTATATTATTTTATACTACATTTCTGATCGCCAGATTAATATCATTCATTTAGGAAACTTTTCACAAAATAAGCATGTTTTTTTCAAGTGGAAAATGTCCTCAAAAAGGTATAACTTTGTTAAATGAGAATGTCATTGGCAAAGAAATTGGTTTTTACATATTCCAGATAGTTTTAGGAAAGAGCTATTTATCCAATTCATGTCTCTTGATTCTTAAACTTTAGTTCTGTGTCCTAATATATCCACTGGTCAAAAAGATTGAGGCAGTTGATTCAACCATGTTGATCCTTGTGATTAGATCCTGGGAGCTGGTAGGGCTATATCTGGATTCATTCTAATCTCTTCCTTCCTCTGTGGTTAGGATGGGAATCATACTCATCTGTGTTGTGTGTCAGTCAGTCAATAAACATTTATTAAGTGCCACCTGTGTGCTCGGGCACTGTCCTAAGCTCTAGGGAACAAAAAAAAAGGCAAAAGATGGCTTTCAAGGAGCTCACAGTCTCATAGGAGAGATAATATGCAAACAATTGCACAAAAAGATATATACAGGATAAAATGAAAATAATCCAAAGGAAAAAGGTGCTAGAATTCAAGGTGATTAGGAAGGGCTTCCTGTAGAAGGTAGAATTTTAATTGGGACTTGGAAGCTGGGGAAGCCAGACGGCAGAAGTGAGGAAGCAGAAGATTCTGGGCATGAAAAACATCCAACAGTTATAAGTCAGCATAAAAATGGTTGAATCCATAGGAGCTATTGAGATCCTCAAGTGAAATAGTATAAAGAGAGAAGAAAAGAAGACTTAAGAGAGGCCTAGAAGAATGAGGCTTGAGGAAAAGACGTTAGAGTTGTCATCTGAGAAGTGGTTAGTAGTAACTTTGGAGAGAAGTGAGAGGAAAGGAAGTGTTAGATAGACTTTCCTAGAAGAGTAGCCACAAAAAGGATCAGTGAGTTATCTAGCAGAAATGGGTGGATCTAGTGAGGGTTTTTTGAGGCTGGGGGAGAGACATGGGCATGTTTGTAGGCAATAGGGAAAGAGGCAGAGTTGACAAGGAGATCAGAGATAAGTGAGAAGGTGGGGATGAGAGAGAGGGTTATCTGCTGGAGGAGCCAGGATGGTAAGGGATCACTTGTGCAGGTAGAAGAGTTTGCTTTGGCAGGGAGAAGAGCTCTCTCTTCATGTGAGACTGGGCTAAAGGATGAGGGTGACAGAAGACATCTGGGTGATGGTGGATGAGGGGGAGGAGAGATGAGGAAGTTTTTTTCAGTAAAGTGAGAGGCAAAGTTCTCTGCTGAGAGGGTGAGGGTAGAGGGCGTAAAGATGGTTTTGAGGAGGATGAAAGCTTTGAAAAAGCCACAGTATTACATGGTGATAGTTAATTAGGAGATGTAAAAGGATTGTCTTGCAGCAGTGAAGCCCCAATTGAGTTAACATGTCATAACTTTGTAATGGACCCAGTAAACGTGGTGTGGTTTTTCTCTAGCTTAGTTCAGCAGCGTGTATGTAGGAGTAAAAGCAGTAAATGATGAGAGTGATCCGAGGCTGAGGCATGGCAGGACACAGTAGACCAGGCCTGCACAACTTGTGGCCAGCCAAAGGATTCCCTCTACATCCAAAGGATGTTTTCCCCTACATTTTTCAAGGGCTGCCTGAAATCCTTTGGCATGCTGCAAGTGGCTTAAGGGTTTGCCTGCCGCAAGTTGTGCAGGCCTGTAGTAGGCCATGTAATAAGAGAACAAGAGACTTAAAAAGAAGAGGATAATGTGGAGTTGAACTGGTTTACCAAGGGATCAAGATTAGGAATGAAAGAGTATGGCTAACCCGGGAGAGGACTGAGGGAAGGCAGTGGGGGAGAAAAAGGAAAGGGAAGGAACATTTATATAGCGTCTACTCTGTATGAAGTGCTGTGCAAATACCTCATTTGATCCTCACAACACATTTTACAGTTGAGGAAACTGAGGCCAACGGAGGTTGTGACTTACCCAGGTCACACAGCTAGTTAGCATCTTGAAGCCTGATTTGAACTCAGGTCTTCTGACTCCAGACCCAGAACTCTCATCCGTCGTGCCTCCTAACTGAGGGATAGGAGGTCAAAGATTTGGTTGAAGAATAAGATTTGAGGTTGCAAGCATGAGGGAGAGATACAGTGACGGTAGATTGTGATCAAATAAGGGAATTTCGAAGTCAGCAAACATGGATGTGGTTCATTTGTAAGTGATGGCAAGATCAAAGTCATGACCATCTGTGGCTGAAGTGGGGTGAATGTGAGGAACTGGGAGGTAAGCATGTTGGAGGGGGACTATGTATGTTGAAATCCCCTAGTATGAGAACAGGAGTTGGGGAGGGGAGAAGGCTCTGAGCCAGGCATGGAACTCATTGAGGAAAGGGGAATGGTCTGGTGGTTGGTAGATAACAACTACCAGAATTTTGACTGGGTGGTGGATACAGATTGAGTGACCTTCAAAGGAGGAGAGGTTACTGACTGGTGATAGAGGGAGAACCTGGAAGTGACAGTGGGGAGCAAGGAGTATTCCAGCTCCCCCACCTCAACCAGTGAGTTAGGGGGAAATGAGTGACAGTGCAGCCAGTGCTGGCCAGGGAAGCCAGGGAGGCTGTGTTATCCCAAGGGAGGCAGGGATTGCAGCAGATGAAAGCAGTGGGAAAGGAAATGATTTAAGGTATCTGGAGCAGGTGTTTCAGAGAGCCAGTGGTAGGGTTTGGTAGCTTTAAAGTGGGACATTATTGGGTTTGGTTTGAGGGGAATGGGAATAAGGGGCAGCTGGGGACAGGCAGTGAGGTTTGAATCCTGATGGTAAAGGTGGGGGTAGAGTTCATCACTGAGTGATGAGTTTAGGTGGATTTTCATTGTCCTTACAGGTTCAGTCTCAGGGTCTTTGGCAGTTCAGGGAAGGTGAGAGATGCTTGGATCTGCAGGAATGCTGTTACTGCCCTTCGCCCAAGGAAGGAAACATGTAGAAGGGAAAGGAGGTATCTGGTAGTTGTAAGATAAGTGATCTTCTCCCTTTTCCTTCTCAGCTCTGCCTTCGGAGGACTCCGCACTCACCCACGAGGGGAACACTGAGGCGGGACATGGTTCCGTATTCTTGACAAGCAGAGCCCAGGTGAGTTGGGATTTTTATATCCTTTAAAGGCTAGATCAGTCCTTAGAGCTAATAGGTCTTCTTTTCTTGTGGAACTTCTTGGCCCAGTGTAGCCTCTTTTAGAAACCTGAGCTGTAGTCGCCTGTCACTCAGATGACTAACCCCACCTTCCTGGAAGATGTGTCCTATGTGGAATGGTCTCCACTTGATGAATGTCTCTTCCTTTATTATCTCCCACCCGTCTCCCCAACATTCATTCATCCAGCAGCTCCTTCAGGCCTAATCAGCGATCATCATACTGTGTAGGATGCTGTGATATTTGTAAAGATGGCATTGGAAGAGAGCCTTTGTTTTCACTGAGCTCCACGTCATTGGTGGAGACGTCTGAAGTGGAGCCTGAACCAATGCAGAGCAACACATGGGAAACCTTTTTAGAAGGACATGAGGAAATGCATGAGTAAGAGCCAAGCTGAGCTGCAGGCAGTAAGTTCTCCACCTGTTTAGCAGAGAGACAGATCAACTTAGGATAGAATGGGTAGGGGAGGGTTCGTGAAACATGGAAGATAATTAGCTGGAGGATATCAGTTGGGCAGGGGGCGGGGGGAAGGCCCAGAGTTTAGAGTGTCATCCATATCGGAGCTGGTCTCTAACCTGTGGGTAGCTGGAGCTGAATAAAGGGTGCTAAAGACAAGAAAGTCAGGAATCAAACAGAAGTTTAATTTCAAAGTTGAGGAAAACAGGTTTGCAAACCAGAGTCCTCTTGGGAGAAGGGCTTGTGGCTTGTGCCACAAAAAGGCAGGACAGTTCCCACTGTTGGCATTTCTTGGGACAATGCAGGAGATCTTGGGTCCTGTGGGAACAGTCCTTAAGTCATTGGAATTGTTGAGCCTTGTGTTTGTCTCAAATTGTAAGGGTAGTTGAGCCTTGTGATCGTTCAGTGAGGTACAGAACCAGAGTAAGTGAGCCGGGAACAGGAGTGCAGCCCCTGGTTCAGCTCACTTAATAGTTACAAGCCCGGGAATTGTTCACAGCGTCAGGAGGTATAATTGGTGGCTTTCTGCAGCAGTGCGTCGGCTGTTGTATCAGTTCTGGGGTCCCTGGGAAATAGGGAATCTCCAACAAATCTAAATGGTTGGTGTAATAATTATACCTATCAAAGCATTACAAAAATTACATGATTTTGCCAGAGGGTGAACCCATCTGGAGGGTGAGTGCAAAGGATTGTTGTTATGCTAGGCTCAGGGCACAGCTTGCTTACTGGATCTTAGCTCTGGAAAACAGTGTCTTCTAATATCTTGACAAGAAGAAAATTGGCAAAAACTAGTGCAAACAGTAGCCTGAACATATCAGATGGCTTATGTTAAGGAGTGTTGTTACATTTGGCTGGAATAAGAGTGTGAGAAGCCTTCAGTGCCATCCATCATAAGGCGTTTGGACTGTTTGATTTTTGTCTTTATTTCTCCAGCAATGGGAGACATTGCTGTGAGTGAGGCCCTCTTACGTGGAAAAAACTTGTCGGCAGATATCTGAAAGTAGAATAGGCTGCTTTGGGAAATGATGGGTTTCCCATTTTTGGAGATCTTCTGTCAGGCTTGTTCCGCCCATTGAACGGGCTTTTAGGTGTCTTCCAGCTCTGAGATTCTTAGATCTAAAATCTAATCTCTTTCGTAAAGTCTTCCATTATTATTCTGGCTCAGGTTGCCTTCTGCCTTCTTTGAGTTCCTACATTTGCGTACCTTGATGGATCTGCAGTCTTTTTGATATAGGTGTTCCCTCTGCTGTTACAGATCACAACCCAGGCACACCTCATTCCTTACTGCTCTTGTCCAGGTCCTTATAGAAACCTTCCACAAGGGTGCACTCAGCGTACACAAAGCCTTCCTCTAAATCTCTTGACATATTGCGGATGCCAGTGGAATGTGTAGACTGGCCATTGGTTAGCCTTTGCTCGTGATACATGAAAGACCCACCTCCTTTTCTGGTCTGAGGTCTCTTTTATCATCCTTTGAGCTTAGTAATACATTGCTCTCACTGGGCCATCTCCGTTGTTTTGTGGGTGACACAAAACTAATTCTCTGGAGACTCTGATTTTCTGACTCACAGTCATACAGCATCACCTGAAGAATGTTGATGCTATGAAGATGCGTCTTGATTTCAGAGAGGACATTGGTTCATGAGAATCAATACACAATTTCCCCGATGCAAGCCATCCTTACCTCTTCGTCATTCTACTTTAGACCCTGTTCATTACCCATCTACAATGTCTACCTAAGATGTCCGTACTGATGGAGCAGTTTTATGGACTGTCCTTAAAATCGTATACCATAATCTGGACATTAGGCATTCTTCTTTTACTTGGATTTTCCTGTGTGGATATTCGGACCAAACTCTTGTGAGATTATGAGATCCGTAATTAGGAGATTAGGAGGCTCTGTAGTGTTCAGGGGTTTAATGCAATCAATACAGCATCACCCACAAAGGGATCATCTGAAGCACCTCTCCCTCTATTAGGAAATCCTTTTTGCATGTAGAGTCATCACTGAACATCCTCTTTGTCAGTGGCACACATCTTTGGCCAATGTGTGTCTCCTTGTTGATCGGGTGATGTTAATAACCAGAGGGCAGAGGAATAAAGTTATCCCTTATCTTTCATGGGAATTTTGATCAAGGCCTGTTGGAGGAGTTCCTTTAAAGTGGCATTTTGTTCTACTGAATGAAATGCGTCATTGTAGTCAACCAACAAGAAGCAAAGTGGGATCTTGTATTCTTTGTACTTTTCAGACACCTGCATGACTATAAAGATGTGGTCTGTTACAGAGTACAGTGTAATCTATAATTTATGGAAACCTACCTGTTACCATCTCATGTTTTGTTTTTTTTTGGCTAGGCAGTGGAGTTAAGTGACTTGCCCAGGGTCACACAGCTAGTAAGTGTTATCTGTCTGAGACCAGATTTGAACTCAGGTCCTCCTGAATCCAGGGCTGGTGTTCTATCCACTGTGCCACCTAGCTGCCCCCCATCTCATGTTTTTAAAAATGGCCTTGATACATCTGGTGATTATTATTATAAATATTTATTTTTGCAGAAGGCATATAGGTCAGTACTTGATTTGTACCTATGCTCTTCTTGACAATTTTTATTTTTATATCACCTCCTTTTGCCATCATCTACCTCCCTCAGTTTCTTCTGGAACTCCTTCCCTTAAAATGGTAACTTTTTTTAAATTAAGAAAAAAATGTTCGACAAAAGTAAACTGTCAAAAATGATTCTGATGTTTTGTATAGTGTTCAACACCTATGTTCCCCCACTTCTCCAAAGTAGGTGGGAAGGTGTTTTCTGACTCAGTTAACAAGTAGTTCTTGAGTACTTAGTATGTTTCCTTCACTGCACTAAGCTCTGGTGATATAAAAAAGGCACAGAACTGTGACATTTGCCCTCAAGGAGCTCACATTCTAACAAGGGAGACAAATACACTCATCACTCTGGACTTAACAAGGTGTATCCAATGTAAACCATCGTTGGACCGCACAGAAGCTGTCTGAATGATGATTTGCTGGCTCCTTCCCATCATAAACATTGGGATTCTGAGAGATTATCCAAGGGCCTATGAAAGGGCATTTCTTTTTGCCTTTGAATGTGTGATTGCTAAATCAACTTCAGCAACTAATTTATTTTCTTCTCAAAGGATATTCCACGAGCTATCTCTCCTTTCAGCTACAAATTAATTTTTTTTGTTTTTATTTTCCTTTATATCAGAAATTTTTAAATGACATTCATGCATAATTTATGGAAACCTGCCTGGCAGAATGTCCCATCATTGGTCACAAGACAAGGATCTCACATTTAGAGTGCCAGCTGTGAAGTTAATGTTGGAAACACTCCAACAACTGTGTTTTTTTAATACTCTTTGCCCGTTTCTGCCACATAGAAGCAGTAGGCAGACATGTAGACTGAAGCTCATTTGGTACTTTTTTGGGAGGAGTTAGAGGGTCATTGGTTTCTTTGGCCAAAGCATCCATCACAAAGTGCTATACGAACCAAGCTTTCTTCCTTGGAGAGCAACTGTTGCCTGAGGCTAGGCTTATAATCAAAGCCTTTCCAGTGTGGTAAACCTGCTAGAACTCATGCACACTCTGCATAGCCCCTGAGAAACCAGAGAATCCTTCTTGATGCCCAAAAAGCATCAGAATAGGACTTTGGGACGATGAGGAGTAGAAACCCTTAAGAAACAAGTACTGGACGAGCCAAAGCTTTAGAATGGATGGATGTGACGACTCACATGGAAACTGTCCAGGATCAGGTGAGGCTGGTCGCTCAGATAGGTCAGAATGAAATAGGAAATAGATGTATATTTTCTGGGATCTGGAGGTCTGGCTCACTCAGGTAGAAAATGTTTGAAGGGCAGTTTTATTAACAAACCAGAACTATGTACATCTCCTAAAGTCTCATACAAAGGGAGGCCTGGAGTTTGTCATGCAGTGCCCACATGACTGGGAACCCTCTGTGAGACCCCTCAGAATGGAGCACTGCTTTGTGTATGGGCTGCAATCCTCATTTTCCTTCAAGTGGCCAAGTGAGGGACAATGTTTGGTAGGTGACCAGGAACCTGTTTGGTGTTTCAGGATGCGCTAACATTCCAGGATGTGGCTGTGGACTTTACCTGGGAAGAATGGGGGCAACTGGACCCTGCTCAGCAGAATCTGTACAGGGATGTGATGTTGGAGAACTATCAGCACCTGATCTCTCTGGGTAAGGGGAGCTTCCCCCGTAACTCAGAATCTGCTCATTGGATTGCCTTTGCCCCTTCATTTGCTGGAGGCTGTGAGGTATCCAAAGGGCTCAGCCTAATTTTGGCTTGAGGTGAAGGGAAGGAAGGTTCTTTATGCCTCTGGTGCCAAGAGGCAGGATGTCTGTGCTCTCCGTTCCCATGAGGAAAGTCCACATAAAACTGGAAATTAAGAACGTCATTGTGCTGCCCTTGGCATGGATCCTTCCTGCTGATCTCCCCCATGTTCCCAGTTTTCTTCCTCAAAATTCTAGGGCCTAAAAGTAAAAAAATTCCTTGGGGAGGGAGGCAGCCTGGCACTTTGGAAAGAGCATGGGACTTTGATTCAGATGTCTGGTTTCAAATCTCAGCTCTATAACTGAACAATTGTGTGACCTGAGCAAGTCACTTGGCTTCTGAGCCTTAGTTTCTTCACCTGCAAAGTGTGAGTCGTATTTGCACTACCTCTCAGGGATTTTTGTTTTGCATCAGTTAGATATATTGAAAGTCCTTTGTAAATGATGAAGTATTACATAAATGTAAGGTGGTATTTATTGTTATTAATATTTATGTCATTATTTGTGACCATGAATCCATATTGTGATCATCCACACACACTTGCACAGTTCAGAGTGGCTTTCTAAGATACTTTGTACCAGCTCTTCAGGGGGTTGGGTGGGTTTTTGGTGCCATGGATCCCTTTGGCAGTTTGGTGAAGTCTGGATCCCTTCCCAGAATACTATTTTAAAATGCATAAACATTCCTGCACATCAGGTGAAGAGCCCCTGCCTTAGGCCTTCAACTCATGTTCTTGGCCTGCATTGGAAGGGGCTAGAATAGACCTGAGATGGCCCTGTATTTCTGTCCCATCATGTTCCCCTTTCTCTCTGCATGAGCAGGGTTTCCGGTTTCCAAACCAGTTGTGATTTCCCAACTGGAGCAAGGAGAAGTACCATGGGCTATGGAGAGAGAAGTTGCCAAAGGTTCCTGTCTAGGTGAGTGACTGAGAACCGGGAAGGTGGAAGGCTGTGTAAGGACCAGCTCAGCAGATCTGTCATGGATGAAGCTCCTTTGAAATGGTGAGGAAGGAGCCTTCCTCACAGCAGCCTGGGAATTTAGTCAAAGCCCAAGAGAGTTGTCTCTTTCACCATTCTTGGGGGTTACATTTTCCCTGGAAGACGTTTCCCTGCCTTATTCTTCTGAGCATTCAGTGAGTGCGTAAAAATGGGCAAATGCATGTGTAGACGCAGCTTCAGGCCCAGAGGAGAATTGTTTCAAAGCATAAAGTTGCTTTACTGTGCTTGGGGATGTTTAAATGTGGTTGGAAAGAAAAGGCATGTATGAAAGTTAAATAGCAAGCCATTGCATAAGGGGAGAGAAGGAAGGGGGGAGGGGGAGGCATGAAGAAGTGTGGCCTGACTACATTGGAGGATGATTGCTTCCAAGTGGTGAGACCCGAAGTTGACTGCCTAGGATCAGTCATATATTTTGAGGACTTAAGTGGCTGGCCAAGGAATTTTTCCTTTATCTTGTAGGTATGATGGCAGAGGAATTAGACTATTCATTTCAGCAGCTGAATTCAGCAGACATGAAGTACCTATAACATGTCAGGCATCGTGCTAAGTGCTGGGTACATAAAAGTCAAATGGTTTCTGCTCTTCAAGTGAGGAAGGTGGTATAACTTGTAGACATAGACAGCTATGTCCTAGTAAGACACTTTGAGGAAGGGGGGGTTTTAGCAGGTGAGTTGAGGGGGGAGATGCATTTCAGGCAAGGGGAGAGCTTGTGGCACAGCACAAGGACAGGAGATGCTCAAGAAATAGCTTCTAGGCCACAGAATCATTGAAATTTAGAATTAGAAAGGATCTCAGCAATGATCTAGGCAAACCTATACCCTGAAAGGAATTCCTGTTACAGCACATCCACCACTTGGCAGCCATCTTTTCATTGAGCCTTCCAATGAGAGAGATTCAAGGATAGTGGATAGAGTATCATTGGAATTGTTAACTGTTGGGTCAGAATTGTGAAGGAGGAAAAGAAAAAGCGTGTCCCCCGTGGAAAGGCTTGTAGAGGCCGAATCGGGCGTCCTTCATCTGCTCAGGGACTCTGCCACTTTCTTTTGCTGCCTTATAGCCTTCTTAGATGAAAAGCCCTCAGTCTGCAGGTGCAGTACTGCTCTGAACCCACCATCTCCTGCTCGACACAGCTTGTCCCTTGGGGAAAGGCTACTTGGGTCAAGTCGGGCATTTTCCATCTGCCTCAAAACAATCACTTCCATCTGTACCAGCAGAAGGCATCTTCAGCCTCTTGCTGCCAGCCTAATCTCCCAGCTGGGATGTGGAGAACCTCTGTTTCAAATAGAAGAGCAACCCTCCCTTCAACTTCAGGCTTCCCGTCTCCAGCTGGGTCTCTTTTGAGGGTAGAGGAGTGGTACCTTCTACTCGACGATGGACATTCCCACACCTAGTCATACCCTTCACATCTCACTGATTCTCAGCTTCTATAGATCATCATCCAGACCCCATTCCTGACCCCTGATACAGAAAAAAATGGAGGCCATTCACAGTGAGCTCCCTTTTCTCCTGTCACTCAGTTGCCATCTGCCACCATTTCTTCCTTCACTTCTGTCTCACACGATGAGGTGGCCTTTCTCCTTATCCAGATTAGCTCCCTCTACTTGTTCAAATGATGCCGTTCCCATCTCCTCTAACAGACTGCCTCCTCTGTCATCCCTACTCTTTTACTTATGTTCAATTCCTCTCTGTCTATTGGCTCATTCCCTCCTACTGACTACACACATTCCCATGTCTCCCTCATTCTGAAAATTATTCCTTCCATCCCCACTAACTGTTGTCCTATATCTCTGCTGCCCTTGGTGGTTAAACTCCTTAAAAACACTGTCTACAATAGGTGCCTCCACTTTCTCTGTCACTTTCTTTAAACCTTTTAAATCTGACTTCTGACCTTATCATTCTACTGATAGCTCTCTCTCCAAAGTTACTGATCTCTTGGGACAAAGTTAATGATCTCTTAGTTCCCAAATCCAGTGGGTTTTTTTTCCGGTCTGCATTCTTGACTTTCCTGCAGCCTTTGACATGGTTAGTCACTCTCTCCTCTTTGCGACTGTCTCCTAAGTTTTTGGTTCACCACTCTCTTGGTTTTCCTCACATCTATCTGACCACTTATTCTCTTTTGCTGGCTCCTCTTCCAGATCACGCTAACATATCTATTTGTGTGTGTGTGTGTGTAATTATTTTATTTTATATTTTTAATATAGGCATCATAGGTATTCCACAGGGTTCTGTCCTGGGCCCTCTTCTCTTCTCCTTCTATACTACTTCACTTGTTGATCTCATCAGCTCCCATGGATATAACTACTATCTCTGTGCTACCTTTCCTATCTCATTCTCTATGTTGACCTCCAATCTTGCGCCTCCAACTGCATTTCACACGTCTAGAGCTGGATGTCCAGTAGACATCTTCAATTCATTATGTCCAAAATAGAACTCATTATTTTCCTCCCTAAACACTCCCTTTGCTTCTTACTTTCCCTGTTACTAAAGAGGACATCACCATCTTCCCAGTCCCTCATGCTCATAACCTAGGAGTCATCCTGGATTCCTCACCCCCCATATCCAAGCTGCTGCCATAGCCTGTCAGCTTCATCTTTGCAACATCTGTTGACTGTGTCCCTTTCACTCTTATGATGCCACCGCTCTAGTGCAGGCCCTCATCACCTTGTGCCTTGATTATTACAATAACCTCCTGATGGATCTGCCTGCCTCAGGTCTGTCCCTATTCCACTCCACTTTATCCACCATTCAGCCATTAAATTGATTTTCTTTTCTTTTCTTTTCTTTTTTTTTTTAGGCAGTCGGGGTTAAGTGACTTGCCCAGGGTCACACAGCTAGTAAGTGTCAAGTGTTTGGTCTGAGGCCGTATTTGAACTTAGGTCCTCCTGACTTCAGGGCTGGTGCTCTATACACTGTGCCACCTAGCTGCCCCCATTAAATTGATTTTCCTGTAACACAGGTCTGAAACACGCACACACACACCCACCCACCCACCCACACACCCATACCCCCACACCCACACACACCCACACACACCCTTCACTACTCAGTAAAATCCACTGGCTCGCTATCAACTACATGATCAAAGACAAATTGCTTTGGCATTCACAGCCCTTAATACTGGTACCCCTCCACACCCCACTACCCCGATCCCCTCAACAGCCTTTCTAGTCTTCTTGTATTTTACTTCCGACCATGTACTCTTTGATTAGTAACATTGGCCTCCTTGCTGTTCAATAAACAAGATACTCCATCTCTTGGTTCTGGGTTTTTTTCCTGGTTGTCTCTTATGCCAGGAATGCTCTACTTCCAAAGTGCAAAAGCCTTTTCCAACCCCTTTTAATTCTAATGTCTTCCCTCTTTTAATTATTTCCTATTTATCCTGTATGTAGTTTGTACATATTTGTTTACTTGTTGCCTCGCCCAATTAGATTGTGTGATCCTTGAGGAAAGGGAATATTTTTTTTTTGCCTCTTTGTGTATCCCTAACACTTAACACAGTCCCTGGCACATAGTAGGTATTTATTAAATGCATATTGCCTGACCTGATAAGGAAGATATAAAGATAATGAAACACAATTCCTGCTCTCAAGGAATAGATAATCTAATAGAGAGGATTAAAAATACACAAAAATCATAATGCAAAATAGAGCATGAGTAAAATAGAGGTACAGATAATGCATTATTTAAGAATTGAGCACTATTTTAAGTTCTTATGTTCATTTAGTTAACTTCATTATTTAGATAAAAATGAATCTTTAGTTTGAATACTCATAATCCATCTTTTCAACATGAGTTAGCTGTCTGCAGTTGTGCTTTTATTTGTCACATACTGGGGTACTTAAAACGGGCATACACTCAAGCTTGGGAGCCTACGGTAGTGAAATTAGCCTAGAGTTGTGAAAAACACACAAAGCCCTGTCAGGAAAAGTGATACATGTGGCGAGGTGTGCATAGGAGAATTGCTTCTCATCTGTTTTCTCAATGCAGTGAGATGTTCCTTTTTTTGCTAGTATCTAGGGAATCCTCTTTTTTTCTTTCAGATTGGGAAGCTAGACACGAGACCAAGGAATCAAATTCAAAGCAAGACTTATCTGGTGAAAAATCATCCCAGGAAAGACTAACAAAGGATGGTCCTGAGCTGTTGATCAAAGATTGGGACTATGGTGGCAGATTTGAGACAAAACAGCAGGGGAACTTGAGGAGAGATTCAAAGCACGTACTAATCACCCACAAGAAAACCCCTAATAGAGTGAGAAAAATTACACTGCAGAGAAATTACAGTCCAGGGTCAGTCCCTGTGACACAACAAACTGAGCCTGCAGGAAAGAGTTTCCATCAACATGGCGCACGTGAAAAGACCCTCCAAAAGCTGTCCGACCTAATTAAACGTAATAGAATTACTTCAGGGAAGGAATCTATTAAATATAATAAATGCACTAGAGGCTTTAGTTACCAATCGGATATTATTCAGTATCCTGAAGTCCCTGCTGAAGACAAATCCTATGTATGTAATGAATATGAGAAAGACTTTAGTCAAAAGGAATACCTGAATCAACCACAGAAAAGTCCTGTTGGAGAAAAGACTTATAATTATGAGGAATGTAGGAACATCTTCAGCCAGATGGAGTACCTTGCTAACCAGGAGACACTTGGTACCGGAGAGAAACCCTTCACATACAGTGACTGTGGGAAAACCTTCTCTGATGGCTCATCTCTCACTAAACCTCAGAGGATTCACACAGGAGACAAATCCTGTAAATGTGATGAGTGTGTGAAAGCTTTCAGTAACAAGTCGTCTCTTACTGAACATCAGAGAATTCATACTAGGAAGAAACCCTATATATGTAATTCATGTGGAAAAACATTCCAGCAGAGCACAAATCTTATTCACCATCACAGAATTCATATGGGAAACAATCCCTATACGTATGATGAATGTGGGCAGGCCTTTGGTGAAAATTCATCCTTCTCTGAACATGAAAGAAATACAGGAGAGAGAGGTTGCGATCATAATGAACGTGGGAAATCCTTCAGCCAGAGAGGACATCTTAGTAAACAGAGAATTAATCCTGGAAACAGCCCATACAAATGTAATGTATGTGGAAAAGCCTTTAGTACTAGTTCCTCCTTTATCCAGCATCAGGTCTCCCATGTTGGAACTAATCCTAAACGTAATATAGGTGAAAATGCTTTTGGACAGAGCCTTATTAAGCATCAGAAATGTGTCATAGGAGAGAAGCCTTATCGTTGTGGTGAATGTGGGAAAACATTTAGCAAAGGTAGGTGCCTTATTCAACATCAGAGAATTCATACTGGAGAAAAACCTTATATATGTAATATATGTGAGAGGGCCTTTACCCAAAGGGGAAACCTTGTTAAACATAGGAGAATTCACACTGGAGAGAAGCCCTATAAATGTAATGAATGTGGCCAAGCCTTCAGCCAGAGCTCATCTCTTACTGAACATCAAAGAATTCACACTGGTGAGAAACCCTATCATTGTAATGTGTGTGGAAGAGCTTTTGGTCAGGGTAGGAGCCTTACTCAACATCAGAGAATTCATACTGGAGAGAAACCCTATAAATGTACTAAGTGTGGTAGAGCCTTTAGTCAGGGTCGAAACCTTACCAGACATTGGAGAATTCATACTGGAGAGAAACCCTTTAAGTGTAGTGAATGTGGGAAAGCCTTCAATCAGAGGGAGCATCTTACTAAGCATTGTAGATTTCATACTGGATAAAGCTCTTATAAATGTAGTAGAAAAGTCTTCAGCCCAAGCATAAACTTTGCAAAACGCCCACAAATCAATAGTAGAGAGTCAGTACTATAAATGTATTGAACATAGGAATGCCTTCAGCCAGAATTCATATCTTACTGAACATCAGATAATTCACCCTGGAAGATGAAATTTTGTTTTTAAATTTAATGAATGTGAAAAAATCTTCAGTCAGTCTAGAAGCCTTTGTACCTTACTGAACATCATAATTCATCAAGGAAAATGAAATTTTGCTTTTAAATTTAATGAATGTAAAAAAAAACCCAAAACCTTTACTCGATCTAGAAGCCTTGTTCAGTATCAGAAAATTTATGCTAAAGAGAAACTACATATGTAATGAATGCAGAAAAGGCACCAGTATCGGTCATCCTTTACTCCAAGGCAGCATTCATAATGGCGAAAAGCATAAATGAAATTAATGTAAAGCCAGCTGTGCTTCAGTCCTCATAACAGACTTCAAATCAGGGTTATTCTGTATATACAGACAGTTCTCACTTTATGTAAGTGGACCATTCCATAGACCTCTGTGTAAAGTGATTTTTATGTAATGTGAATTACCCGCCCACTTCCCTTAGCCTATATAACAATGGCGTACACAAAATAATACCTTTATACAAGCCATAAAATGCAGACATAGTAATACTGTACCATGAAAATAAACAATTATGAAATGAAAGGTAAAGTTCATGATCAAGTATGCACAGTACTGCACGGTAAAGTTAACATAGGTGTGCAGTATGTTGTACCTTCTCCACCCGTTGCACTTAGCCTTTATTGCTGGTGATCAGCTGTGCAACTCTTTTTATGAAGTGTTGAAGGATAATCTTTGTTAAGGCTTCACTGTACTAAATCAGGCAGGCTCAGGAAAAATGTGGGAAGAAAGAGTTTATTATTACATGCAAGGTTCATATGACTGTTACACTTTGCTTGTAGGTATTGTAGCCTCTCCTATGAGAGGGCTGTTATAGTTACCTGTTAGAGGGGATGGGAAATCTCATTCAGTAAAGCTACTGGATAGGACAAGGATGTCTATACTCTGCATCTAACTAGCATCTATAACTGTGACTTCCATGATTTAGAGTTCTCAAATTCATGTCTAACCAAAAATGCCTATCTTTAGCTTTGTTAGACAGTGGCTCTCTATTTTTTCCTCGTATCTCTGAATGGAGATTTCTTTCAGAATTCTTTACATAAAGTCAAATCTGCAAAATGTGAATTTACATAAGGCAAGCATGGTCTGTGTTACGATATACACCAGACAGATTTGTCATTCGGTGGCTGTGGGTCTTGGGAAATAGAAGGGATAAATCTCACTTCCTTTGGAAGTTTGGTGAGAAATTCTGGAATTATAAACTGAGTAAGCAGCTGCCATGGCTAAGTTCTGTGTGAGATGAAATATTATCTGCGACATTCCTTGTTCCCTTGGAATTTATAGTCTAACATGGTGATGTGATGCGTTACTATATTGCAGAGTAATACGTACAGGTGGAAGAGCTATCTGCAGACCATTCCTTTGCCACAGTCGGTCAGTTACCATCTCATCCATTTCCTTCTTTGGTCCAGAACTTCTAAACCTGCTTCATAGTCTCCCTCTTCACCCCAGCACTTACGCTTACATCTGGAGACTTTAGCAATATATGCCTTCGTGACCACTTGATTGCCCTGGCCTTTCTGCTTATTGCTATCTTAAACTCTCCTGACTTCTGTCTTTGCTCCTGACTCCTGTCATAGCCAGGTACAAGGATGTCTGTACTCTGCATCTGACTGTCATCTGTAACTATGACTTCCATGATCTCGAGCTGTCTCATTCATCTCTAACCCAGAATTCCTGTCCTTAGTCTTTTACTTTGCTTTATCTAAACATATTCTTCATCCTCATCAGTACCTTCAGCCTTCCACACCCTCTCTTGTCTTGAATTTTTATTGGCTTAACTTCTTTCCCCTAACACCTGCTCTGGCTACATTCACTCCCTCCCCTCACAGCCTTCACTCATGGATGACCAATTCAACCATATGCTATAATGAGCTACCCCTGAATCACTTGTCCTCTTGTCCTTCTCTTGTCCTTATCTTGCTAGGATAGGTCCCAGCTATAGCTCGCCGAATCCCAGCCCTGAATTACTCTCCCTGTCTGCTTCCTGTGGTCTATCCAACCATGCCATTGTGGTTTACTGCAATTTTTTTGTCACATCTCAACTAGACCAGTGCCAATACATGCCAAATCCTTTTATTCTTCCCTGATAGGCCATCACATTTCCTGCATGTTGCAACCCTCCTCTTTACTCATACTTTCTTCTCCCTCATTTTTCATCAGATAATCTTACCTTCTACTTAACTGGAAAGAAATGGCTGTCCATTTTGAGCACCTCCCCCCCCCCCACATCCCCAAACTCCTTTTCATCTTCCTTGATTTTCAACACCTTTGCTTCAGTGTCTGAGAAAGAGATAATCCTTCTTGCCTAGGCCAAAACCTCTTTGTGTTTTCCAGGACCTATCCTCTCCCATCTTCTTTGGAAACTTGCTTTTTCATTCTGTCATCGTTAATCTGTCCTTATCTGCTGGTTCCTTCCCAACTGCCTTCGTGAATACTCAGATTTCTCCATCTTTTATAAGTCTTCACTTGTCCCACCATCCCTTCAAGCTATCATCCTATATTGTTCCTCTCTTTTATGGCCAAATTCCTAGAAATGACCATTTGTACTGGTTGCCTTCATTGGTCACTCCTTAATTCCTTGCAAGTTGACATCTGACCCATTCAGCTGAGGCTGCTCTCTCCCCGTTTATCAAGGAGCTCTTAATTGCTAACTCCTGTGCCTTTTTTAGGCCTCATTCTCTCTGACCTCTGCAGATTTTGACAGCCATTCCCTCCTCCTAGACTCTCCTAGAGGTATTCTTCTTTGATTGTCCTCCTGCCTGTCTGCACATCCCTTTTTACTCTCTTTGCTAGATCGTCATCCTTTTCCTACTTACTGGGCCTCTTTCTCTTCTTTAAACTGCCTCCCTGTGTAAGGCCATCACTTCTCATGGGTTCAGTGATCTCTATGCAGATGACTTATCAAATCTCCATATCCAGCCCAATTCCATCTCCTGAACCCCAGTCCCACGTCTCCACCAAGATGTTCAGTAGGTATCTCAGACTCACTTTGTCCACAACTCTTATTTCCCCCTAAATCCATCTGTCCTCCAGACTTTTTTGTTGTTTTTGTTGTTGAGTACACCACAATCCTTCTAGTTACCTAAGTTCATATCCTCAGAGGGAGTACTCTCTGTTTACCCCTTCCCCTCCTATCACTTGCCAGGTGTTGTTGATTCTGCCTCCACAAAACTTCTTCCATTCAACCTTTTCTGCATTCACATGGCTTCTAACTTAGTCTGGATCTTTGTGACCTCTCACTTGGACTATGGCAATAGCCTTTAAAACCTCCCCTTCAATCCAGCCTCCACAGATCTGCCAAAGTGGTAGCCTAAGACATGGGCATGACCATGTCATTGCTCTGCTCATAAATTTTCGGTGGCTTCCTGTCGTAGTTAGGATAAAATGCAAAATCCTCATGCTGGCATTTAAATCATTTGACATTATGGCTCACACTTGCCTTTCCATTTTTTTTTTTCGTATTGCTCTCTTTCACACACTCTTCTTTCCATTCAGATCATCATGTCTACTTTCATATTGGTCCGTTCCGCACATCTCTCTTTGAACAGGAGTGTACTAGCACTTGGGCCTCATAGAATCCCTTCAAAGCACAGCTTAGGGGCTGCCTCCTACCCAAGCCCTTTCCTGATCCCTCCCTTAATTAGTGCTCCACTTTCATGAAATCACTTTATATCACATCGTATTTATGGAACTATACACAAGTTGTCTGCTTCCTCCCTTCCTTAAAATGGGAACTCCTTTTGGTCAGTGGCTTTTTATTTTCATTTTACTATCTCCAGAGCCGACCCCTGAATAGATGTTTTTGAATTTACTACCATCTCCTTGAAGCCTCCTTTGGTGAACCTTATGTCAGGAACAATCTGACACCACCCCCACCCCCCAGCCCCCGACCACTGTATTTTTCACCTTTGTCATGTCTTAAAGATCTGCTTAGAATGCATAACACAGCAGATGTGTTAGAGTATTGTGATCTCCCTGCTAGACTGTAAATGCAATGGGGGCAACTTTGTGTCTCTTCTACTCCTAACACAGTGCTTTTTATCCTGGGATTTGGCAAGGCATAGCCGGGATATCCTTTTTATTCTTGGAGAGTTTGACCAAATTGAATGACTCTTCTAGGAGCTCTGGCCTTATGTCAGAGGAGGAAAATTCATCCCCTGAAACAACCTAGTGAGTAATCGATTCCTTACCATCCTTCTTGTTGTTCAGTCCTTTTTTAGTTGTGTCTGACTCTTCATGACCACATTTGGGGTTTTCTTGGCAAAGATGCTGGAGTAGTTTGTTAATTCCTTTTCTATCTCATTTTACAGAAGAGGAAACTGAAGCAAACAGGGGTAAGTGACTTGTCCAGGGTCACACAGCTAGTGTCTGAGGCCAGATTTGAACTCAGAAGGGTGAGTCTTCCTGACTCCAGGCCTGGTACTCTTATCTACTGTGCCACCTAGCTGCCCCCTTATCATCCTGCCTAGGTAAATTTGCCAGTTTCCTATTCCTTTAGATGGGTTGTGAATTCTTGCTAAGTTGCAGATCTCTCTGACTGTCTTTTCTTTTAAGATCTAAACCACCCATTATAGGGAAATTGATTGCCAGTGTTCAGTAAGTAGGGACACTGGGGGCTGATGTTCAGTAACCAGTGCTTTTCCCTTTCCCGGGAGCGCCTTCTCTAAAAGGCAAAGGTGGGCTTAGTTAGCATCAGGAAAGGGAGCCTGGAAAGCTGAGGGTAAACCCTCTACTTGAGGCCATTCTGCCCCAAGGAAAGAAAAGACCTTTGTACTTTGTTTTCACATTGTCTTCAGTGACTATAAGGA